GGTATCTCCGCTCGGCCAAGCTGATAAAGCCTCATTTTCCTCCAGCCGTGCCTTCAGAATCGCCTCTGACAAATACTTAATGACCTGAGCCTTTGATGAGGCCTCAGGCACATTTCCATCCATTAAGCAGAGTTTCCAGCAGCATGCAGAAGTGATGAGATTTATGGCTACATCGTAAAGAGTTTTATTTTCTAACTACGCAGACAGCAAAGACATCCTCTCTCTATGAAAGCAGAGAGCAACTGAAACATCATCATCATCAATCTTTATTACGGTCTAGAGACCCAAAAAATCATTACAAAGCAATACACAATTCATACAGCCTACCTCCAGGTTAAACAAGCATTTTGCTCAGAATATAGGGATCATTTGTTCTTGCAACCACCGATAAAAACTTTGCCACTGCTAATGTTCTAGCATTTGTCCAGTCTTCCAATAGGAACCTGTCATAGTGAGCCTCTGATTTTCCCGGGAAAGGTACCAGCAAGGGTAGTATCAGTTCAGCCCTTGCTTGCTCATATTTTGCACAATGCAACAAAATATGTTTTATGGAATCACTGTCTTGAGCACACGAGCAAAGTCTGTCCTGGTAGGGAACTCCTCTCAACCTGCCATCCAACACTGTAGAAGGAAAGACGTTTAGTCTGGCTTTGGTGAAAAGCCTTCGATAGTTTGGTACTGTCAGGTTTTTAATGTAAGATGTTAACTTAAAGACATACCCATATTGTACTCCTACTGCCAGCGGACTACAGATTGTGTGTGATCAAGATCGCAAGTCACTGTGTGCATTATCCCATAATCTTTGCTTTAGCATCTTTTGGGCGCCTTCATAACCCAGGTAATACAGTTGGGGGGGATGACAGACCAATAGAGGTGGCTTTTTTAGCCATGATTTTCTGCCATTTGCTGACAAATTCCTCATTGGTCAGGTGTTGGTACAAACTCTTCCCTAGATCAAACACGGAAATCCTGAGCCAATGTTTTAGGGCAGCCCACCACGCTTTAGTTGAAGTTGGGCATTCACCAGCTTCTAACAGAAGTATGGAGTTGGGGACGCAGCTGGGTACCTGCAGCAGAGATTGTAGAAATTTTGCCTGAAAGCCATCTAGCTTTGGCAGGTCCCCATTATGCCAGACATTTGCAGTGTACAGGAGTTGGGAAATGGGTTTTGCGTTGAAAACCTTTAAGGCTGCTGGAACATGTTTGCCGCCCTTTGTGAAAAAGAATCTCAGTATGGCTAGTTTTGTGATCTCCGCCTTTCGAAGGGAGGTTTGCCAGTGGTGCTTCCAAGATCCTGTATGATGGAATGTGAGCCCTAGATAACGGAAGTATTTGATCTGTTCAAGGTTATGGCCATCCAGCACCCATTTAGACCGGGAGAAGCTTCTTTCGAAAACTAAAATTTTAGATTTTTCATAATTAATGGATAACCCATTTCCAGAACAGTAATCAGAAAATTTCCTCAGCAGATAATTCAAACCCGGTCTGGAACGTGAGATGATGGCCGCGTCATCAGCATATAACAAGGGGGTCCTTCTCATTCCTATTTTTGGAAGGTGTCCATCTGGGTCCATTAAGCTCTCTTCTAGGTCATTTAAGAATAGACAAAACAATGTGGGGGCCAAAATGCATCTCTGTCTCACCCCCCCAGCCATCTCGATGCTGTTTGATAACTGTCCCTGTCGACCACATCGGACCTGCAGTTTGGTTCCATTGTACAGGGCTTTTATCAGAAAGAGGAGTCGTTTGTCCTGCAAAATCAGATTTAATTTGGACCATAGCTAGGATCTGGGGATGGAGTCAAACGCTGATTTCAGATCCATGAAGGCCATGAAGAATTTACCCTGTAGAGGCCTGGTATACTTCTCAGCTAGGAAGGACAGCATTAGACAGTGGTCTGATGTTGAATGGTTCTCACGAAAGGCTGCCTGGGCTTCAGATAGTATATTATGTTCATTTAGAAAAGTTGTCAGTTTGCTACTGAGGAATCGGGCATACAGCTTCCCAATTATTGAAAGCGGGCTAATTGGCCTATAATTGGCCTATAATTGGAGGGTACATTTGGGTGGCCTGTCTTAAAGATTGGGACTACTATAGCATGTTTCCAGCTATATGGTACCTTACCCAAGTTATTTACTACTGTAAAAAGTGCTGCCAGAAGCGGAGCCCACCAGTGCTGGTTTAATGTAATCAACTCCGCTGGGATAAAGTCTTTCCCCGGAGCCTTTCCGCTCTTCAGATTCCCAATTAATGTATGGACTTCCTCCACAGTAACCGGCCTCCAGTGAGGGAGCAGTGAAAATTCTGCCCTGTCATCATCCTGGAAGCTGGAAGGGAGGTTTGGATTTTCCATAAATATATTTCTGAAGTGGTTCTCCCAATCCTGAGTTGGAATGGCACAGCTGGGGGCTGAAGAACTATTTTTCATTGAGTTGGAGACCAGTTGCCAAAAGAGTTTAGTTTCATTGTTTAGTGAGGCATTCAATAGCAGGGACCAGGAATTTTGTTCGGACTGCCTTTTTTTGAGGCCAAAAGGGCTTTATACTCTTTTTTTATTTTGAAATAAGATGGAGGTAAGTAATTTAGTCCAGCGTTTCTGTAGGCCAAATAAGCGTTCCTTAAGGCTTCCTTCTTTGTGCGGTACTCTTGGTCAAACCAACCGCGCCCTTTAGCAGTGCTTGGCTTGCTGGCTGAGTTTATGTTGACCGAGACCACATCCTGCAAGGACTCAATGAGACATGAGAGCAGAGTTTGCAGTGCTCCAAAAAAAAGCACGAAAGGAAGGAAGGAAGGAAGGAAGGAAGGAAGGAAGGAAGGAAGGAAGGAGAGAACCACTTACGCTAGCAGGTACTTTGCAAGCTTCTAGATAACCTTACAACCGCATGTTAAATCCACCTGCTGACATGCAAAAGCCTGCTCTTGTTACAGAGTTTTGAAGCCAGCTTCAGTTTGGAAGCTGCCCCCTTAATTTGAAGAGCGCTAAAAGAAAGAAATGCCCCCTCCATTCATCTTTTTTCGAAGGAGCAAGGATAGTTCAATCAGCCTTTTATTGGTCACGTTCTGTTATAGGCATTTTTAAGTCCAGCCCTTCACTAACCAGGTCTGTTCTAAAAATCCACGTACCAGTCTGGACAAACTGTCGGTCTGACAAATTTTAACAAACGTGAAGTATTTTGTTTTATTAGCTCTGTGGCTTTTAAAAGAACTGGCCCTTTAAAAAAAAAAGCAACAAAACCCCCCACTTGTTTGGAGGGTTACTTGCATGTCAGTAGAAATAAGGCTTAATCACACATTTTGGTTCACCCGCAAGGAGGATTTTTTTGGTGTTTGGCTTCTTTTACTGGAGCTGGGAAACCAAAGGCAGTGAATGACTTGAAAGGGTGGGGAGTAAGTTAGGGTGCAAGTCCTGACTTCTGGAGAATGCAGTTTTTTAGTGAGCAAGTCTCCCACAAGCCGAATCTTACACATTTTGAAGTCTTACCCTCGTTTTTAAGCTGTTTTTGACAGGAAATTCATTGCTGTTTTTGCCTTTTTGAGAATTTCTGAATCTGTAGTGGGGCAGTCATAGCAATGCTGGTTAGCAATTGTAAAGTAATTCTTGGCTGAGGTGTAGAAATCCTGGTTCTTTTCTTTTTTAAGTGTTACACAGCTACACTCTGCAAGGACTGCTCTATTAGTGCTATCTAGGCTAAAAAACAAATGAAAACACTGTTATCAGAAAACTGAAGTAGTTATTATTAATGTTACACAAATCTGGAGATTCATGCAAGAGAACAAGCCCCACCAATGATTGGAAAGAGGCACCATTCTGCTTGCTGTGAAAACAGGCTAACACTTTGTGCTAATCACAGATACTGGGATGGGAGACAAGGTCCTTTTATAGCATACTGGCTGTGAGGAGAACTCAGCTGCAATGTCAACACAAAGAGCACTGTTTTAGGTACTATGGGATGCAACATCACAGAAAGCAGTCAAATACAACATTTCCTATTTGCCCAGAGTGGACACACAGGGGGATGTTACTCCAGCCAGGAGGACTTCCTGTCACACCTGTCTGGAGCATCCTCCCCCTGCTTGTCACCAGGTAGATGGGCATGATCCTGGGAGACCCCATAAAAGGGCTGGTCACACAGCCATCTTCCTTTCATTGCTTTATTCCATCTTGATGCTTTTGCTGTCTGCTGGCTCTCAGCCAGCAGCACATGGACTCCCTCCCCATATGGGATGAACCCACACTCTCTTCTGTAACTACAAGCTAAAGCCTGCCTTCAGGATCATACTGCGAACTGAATTTAAGTATACTACTACTACTTATTGTTAATTATTTATACCTCACCCATCTGGCTGGGTTTCCCCAGCCACTCTGGGTGGCTCCCAACAGAATTAAAAGCACATAGTTGTTTATTTCCTTGACATCTGATGTTTTTAGAGAAGACTGTTGTGTCTTTATTCTTTTTAAGAGGGAACAAAGGGGATTTAGCAGGAACAAATCCAATCTGGACAAGCCAGACTGGATTGTTTAACTCAAGAGATTCTAACGAATCTACCAACTAGCTTCCTGCAATATACAGGGGGATGTACTATGCTACCAGCTCACTACCGTGAGTGAGGAAGGATAATATTTAATCAATATATCCTCTCCTACTATCCACAACATTCCCACAGGTACTTCCAAGAAAAGTGCTGGGGAGAGACCAAATATGCTGCTTTTCTCGAAAGTCAATTCTACAATGGCTTGTGCTGGTGCTCTATGCGTGTGTGTGTGTGTCTTTCCATATATACAAAGGAGATTCCCGAGGTGCCAAAACCCAAGTTTGGGGCAAATACTCTTTCATGAGAGAACCCAAGCAGAGATTTAAAGTCACAAAAGTAAAGCAAAGAAATATAGGCTGTTAGACCTTTAAAATATGTCCTTCCAAGTGAGTTCCAAAACTTCCCTCATCCCCCAGCAGGAAAAGGTAAGTCAAAAAATGGTTTACTTACCAACTCTTCAAAGGTCTGGCCTTGTGGAGCAATGGGTCACTGTGTCTGGCTGTTAACCAGAAGGTTGTTGGTTCAAGCCCTTCCAGGGGTGGGTGTGGGCAGGATGAGACATGTGGTTGAGCTGGAGTAACCAGCTCAAACCTGTTTACATGCTGAGATGCACAGGTAGACTGAAAAACAGCAAAGTCTTGATTAGCTAGTTCCTCCAAAGCTGAGGGGAAGTGGACATAGCTAAGCCTGGCAAGATAGCTTACTCTGTGGTATTGACCCATTTGTGCATTAATTAATGTAAGCATAGTTCATCGGTTTTCAACCATTGTGCCGTGGCACCCTGGGGTGACTTAATGAAAGAAGGCCCCCCCAGGGCTCCCCTGAACATTCCTTAACTTGCAGCCCATATTTTCCTGCATTATCTCTCTCTTTTCTCTCTGGATGTGTGCCTGGATGTGTGTGTGCTCTATAAGGAGGGATATAAAAATAACCCTGAAAGTGAGGAGAGTCTTCTATGTTTCTCTCTCCTTCTTCCCCCCCACATCCCTCCCCCCATCTTCTTCTCTACCTCTCCACCCAGACAAACCCATGGCTCCTTAACAGTCACCCAGCTTTATGGGGACAGGGAGAATGTTGCAGGAAAGGACCGTGTCTGCATGTGTGTCCTGTGCTTTGTGTTTCATGCCTTCTGTCAGGGAACTGACATCAGAGCGAGAGGCGAAGGGGAGGCTCCTGGATGATGCTGGAGAAGGACCCAGCAGCAGGGGGAGAGGCGACTCAGTGGAGGGGGAAGCATTTAAGCGCAACACCAGGAACAAAAGTGAGCAGATGGGAAAATCGGAGAGAGGGCTCACGGACTCTTCACTGGAACTCAGTGAGGAGGGGACAGGTCCCCCGCTACCCACGCCCACCCTGCGCAGAAGGCTCCCGCGCAGTGAGAGGCGGAGGCGATTGGGTGTCAAACAGCTCTTATGTTGGAAGAGATTCAAGAAACGCCCACTGACGGATTCTGCTAGTGACTGAGACAGTCCTGATCAGAAGGGGCTGTGCAGTCAGAAAGGTTTAACAAGGCAAATCAGCCTAGAGAGGCACCAGTTTACGCACGAGTAACTCATACTCATTATAGCAATCCGTCAGTCCCTGAAAGTTGCTCGTGCGCAGCAGCAGGCAGACAGCATCATGAGCAAGCCCGGAGAAGCAGGCGCCCAAGGGGGGAGCAGCTGGAGGGCAAACGCTGGAGGAGAGGAACCGAGATTTGGAGCAGCATGTGGCCATTCTGACGGCACGGCTGGACGAAAGGCGGTCTCAAGATGCACAGGTCAGACCCACCCCCATAGCAAGGAAGGTACCGGGACTGGTGCACAAGTTTGGGGAAGCCGCAAGAATACAGTGCGTTTAGAACGGAAATAGAGTACGCATTGGACTTGCAGCATAACGATTTTGAAGACGACGCGGCGCGGGTGGCATATGTTGTGGGTCACCTGCAGGACGGGGCCAGAGAATGGGTCAGACCCCTTATGGCGACGCAGAATTCCGCCATGCAGGACCTGAGGAAATTCTTCCAAGCGATGGACGCGATGTTTTCCACTGATGTTCAAAAAAGTGTGACTAAGCGGGAATTGATGAATTGTAAACAGGGGAGCCAGTCAGTCAGGGACTACTGGTCGCGCTTTGCCATGATAGTTCATCGCCTCGGGTGGGAACTGGGCCCGAACCCATACAGATGTTATTCGAGGAGGGGTTGTCCCCAACGGTTAAGGATGAACTTTCCCGCGCACCCCGCCCACAGGGGATGGATCAGCTGACCAAGGCTGTGCTTGCGATTGGCGCGCGCCAGGAAGCGCGGGCCCAGGAGAGGCGGGAAGGGAGAGAGCAACGTTGCCATGACTACCGCATTCCTGAAATACCAAGGCAGCCCTCCCCGCCAGCAGAGCCAATGGAAATAGATGGGCGCGCACGCGGGAAGTTTCAAGCACCAGCGAAGGGCGCAAGAAGGAGGGAAAGGATTGGAAAACCTCCAAAAGGTGTTACCTTTGCCAGCGGCCAGGGCATTTTGCCAGAGCCTGCCCTCAAAGAAAGGCTTGGCAAGGAATGGTGGGAGCCGCAGGGGGTGAGGAGGAGGTGGTAAAGGAACAGGAACAGGGAAACGAGAACGCTTGGCTGCCAATCAAGGGCACAACAGCCAAGCCAGCCACCAGTAAAAGTGCCCCAACCAGACCCCCCCAAGGCGGCAATAGCCATCGAAGTGGTGCTAGAACTCCCAAACGGGCACCCAGTCAAGGTGAAAGGCATGCTGGATTCAGGCAGCTCATGTAATTTCTTCAGCAAGGACTTTGCATTAGAGCACCAGCTCCACTTACTGCCTTTGGATTTTCCCTTGCAAGTGACCACCATTGATGGCAGGGAGCTTCTAGGAGGGGAAGTGACACACCAAACCCCGCCAATGAGAATGAGGGTGTCCAGGCACCGGAAACCATCGCCTTTCACGTCGCCTCACTAGCAGGACCCCCAATAATATTAGGGATGAGCTGGCTAGCACAACATGATCCAGTGGTGGCGTGGCATCAGAGGACAGTCACCTTTGGATCAGCTTACTGCCTGGAACACTGTCTAGGGGGGGAAGCCCCAAGAATGACCGTGGGCAGGGTGGCTGGGATGGCGGTGGAGCGGAAAGGGGAGGTGCCGCCAGAATACGCAGATCTGCGGGAGGTCTTCAGCGAAAAGGAGGCAGATAGACTGCCACCCCATAGGCCCTTTGACTGCCAGATCAACTTGCTTCCGGGGCTCAGCTGCCAGTGGGTAAGCTGTACGCCATGTCAGACAGGGAGATGAAGGAGTTGCGAGAATTTATCGACAAGAACCTGAAAAGAGGCTTCATAAGAGAATCAAAGGCAGTAGGGGGCAGTCCGGTGTTCTTTGTGGACAAAAGGGACACAAATAAACCCAGGCTCGTAGTGGACTATAGAGCTGTCAATTTGGTGTCAGAACCCGTGACCTTCCCAATGCCCAGGATTGACGACATTTTAACGCGAGTGAGGAAAGGCAAAATTTTTACCAAGCTGGACCTCAGGGGCGCATACAATTTGATCAGGATGAGGGAGGGGGACGAATGGAAGACCACAATGTTCACACCCCTAGGTGCCTTTGAGTACTTAGTTATGCCTTTTGGATTACAGTCAGGCTCCGCCTGCTTTCAAGCTTTCATGCACCACGTGTTGGGGTCTCTGCTGTACAAGAACTGCGTAGCCTTCTTGGACGACGTCTTAATTTATTCGGACAATGAGGAACAACATGTTAGAGACGTCAGGGAAGTGTTACAACGACTGCAGAAGCACCAGTTGTGGGTCAAGCTGGAAAAATGTCAGTTTCACGCCAGAGAAGTCGAGTTTCTGGGGTACAAGTTGTCTGACAAAGGCTTAGCGATGGACCCAAGCAAGGTGCAGGCAGTGCTGGAGTGGAAGGCTCCCAAGACACGGAAGGACGTACAGAGGTTCCTAGGGTTCAGCAACTTCTACAGGAAGTTCATCAAGAACTTCGCCCACTTGACAGCGCCAATCACGGATTGTCTCAGTAGCAAAAAGAAGTTTGTGTGGACAGAAGAGGCCCAGCAATCCTTCGAAAAACTGAAGAAGGCGTTCACATCGGAAGAGCAACTCCTGCACGTAGATCTGGAGAAACCCTGAGGCTAGAGACCGACGCGTCCGACAGAGCCGTGGGGCGGTCCTTTGCAACCAGGGAAGGGAAAGCAGGAATGGAAACCGTGTGCCTTTTTCTCCAGAAAACTGAGCAAGTCGGAGCAAAACTATACAGTGTATGACCGCGAACTGCTGGCAATCTACGCGGCCTTTCGTCGTTGGCGTCATCTACTGATAGGGGCGCAACAACAGATCCAGGTTTGCACAGATCACAAGAACTTGGAGTACTGGAGAACCGCACGAGTACTCAACCAGAGACAGATTCGATGGGCACAGGAGTTCTCCAAGTTTTTCTTTGAAATCCGCTACGTGCCCGGAGAAGAAAACGTAAGAGCAGACGCTCTTTCGCGTAAACCGGAGTACCTGGAAGGAGAGGGGCCGCCGGAGACACGACACGTGCTCCCCGAGCACCGAGGCGTGTGTGGCGGACCTTGGGGGGGGAAACGAGAACTAGCCGGGCTGACCAGAAACGACGTGTTCGCGCAAACTAAAATCCGGGAACTACGAGACGGAAGAGGGACCCAAGAAGGGTTTGAGGAGAAGGAAGGGGTACTGTACTATAGGGGAGCGCTGTACGTACCGGGGGAAACCCTGAGGGAAAAAGTACTCAAACAACTCCACGACAACCCCACAGCAGGGCACTTTGGACAGCACAAAACCATGATGCTGGTGACCAGGCAGTTCTGGTGGCCCAGGGTGAGGGAGGATGTACGGGAATATGTACGGGGTGCGACCGCTGCCAAAGGGCAAAGGGGAGCGGGCTGCCCCCACAGGATTGCTGGAACCCTTACCCACGCCGGGAAACCCTGGGAGGTGGTATCCATTGATTTTATGACAGATTTGCCCAAGTCCCGGGAAAGACAGCAGTCATGGTAGTGGTCGACCTACTGACAAAAATGTGCCACTTTATAGCTTGCTCACATGCTGTAACGGCAGAGGAAACAGCCCGGTTGTTTGTGGAGCACATATTCCGGCTGCATGGCGCCCCTTGAGGGTTATCTCCGACCGCGGAAAACAATTTACTTCCCGGTTCTGGAGGAAACTCATGAGCTTACTGCAGGTGGAGGTGGGTTCTCGACGGCGAGACACCCAGAGACCAACGGGCAAGCAGAAAGAGCGAACAGTATACTCCAGCAATACCTACGCTGCTATGTCAGCGAGAGGCAGAACGATTGGGTAGAAAAACTAGCACTGGCTGAATTCGCGTACAACAATGCGGAACACGTGTCCACGGGAATGAGCCCATTCATGGCCAACCATGGGTGTCATCTCAGGGCCTTCCCGGGGAGTGGGGAGGAAAGCTGGAGCGTACCCGCCGCAGAGCAGTTTGTGGAGGAAATGGAGGCCCTACACCAGCAACTTAAGATGAACTTGGAGCGGGCCAAGGAAACTTACAAGAGGCAGG